AGTGGGAAGTGAACTTATAAATTGAGTGAAATAGCCCTTTGGTAGATCTATTTGTTGTTTTCAGCTTGCAAATATCACAAATTTCAGTTTACTGTTCAATCCGTGACTGCATGTAACTTATTTTTTAATTTAATTGAAATGAGAAGTATAAGCAAGTTATCTTGAAATATGGTTGGAAGAGTAATTTCCTTTTTCTTGTTCTACAAATTATTATCTGCAGTTGAATATGCATAAACTGATTTCAACTGTCACATTTTTTATTTTCTTCAGATAAAAGAATCACCCAGGAGCATAGGCGGAGGCTGTCTATTGCAAAACAGAAAGCAGAGTCGATAGCCATGATTACTAAAGACCTTGAAAAAGAGTTTCGTGCGGTATAGTTAAAATTTAGTTTGTGCAAACTTCATTCTGAACTTATGGTAGAGTACCAATTCATGACAATGGGTTTTGTGTTATCTGAATGTACTGATTGTTTCTTATATTGACAATGGGTTTTGTGTTATCTGAATGTACTGATTGTTTCTTATATTTCAATTAAATGCATGTAGTATTGATTCCTTTTTTGAATTATCTGAAATGACAATCATTAATTCATCACACTAAGCATTTCACTTAGATTGATCATGGCCATTAATAATGTCTGTTGTATTAGTAATAACAACGGGATTTTTACATGGTTATGCCATTTTATCATCAAATCCTGTTTTCCTGCACCTTACTTGAATCTGCAATAATAGTTTAAGCCATACAACACCTGCATGCTCAATCCACCACAAACTACCTTTCAGTCAAATACGAGAAAAATGATTTCCAGCTCTAAAGTGCTCGCGCTGAAAATTGAGACTTCGATAGCCTTGTCATATCGTATTCTAACCATGCGAGGTTGGACATGACACACATCTAAGTGATTATATACACCAATAGAATCTTCTAGCACTGCTCTTAGTGGCATCATTAGCACTAATAATCCGTTTATTGATTCTTTACTGCTTTCTAATTGTAGATGCCCACTACCGTAGAAGAACTGGAAGCTGCAATACAAGATACTGAATCGGAGGCAAATTCTATGCTATTTCTTAACCAAAATGTTTTGCAGGAGTATCAAAACCGGCAACATGAGGTATCAAAATATGTCTTGGTCTGTTGTTCATATGTGCTGGCCAGTTTGCAATGATTATGTTTGACTGTCTTGGTATTATCACTGGCAGAATTATCTATTGAGTACTTAACACGTCATTTTATGGGATTACTGATATGCATTTTTAAAATCCTTTTGAGATGATAACATAGTGAGGGAATCCAGGAAGGCGTGTTATGAATTGTCTATTTCCTGAAGTGCATTAAAATTGTGGAGGTTGCATGCCAGCATGCTCTCCCTTCAGACTACCACCCTTGCGTAAAATGCTTGGCTATGTATGATATGGTCTGTTGATCGGGAAGACGGGAACTGATACAAGAACTGCAGGATAGATCGTCTAACTTGCCCTCCATAGAGACTCTGAGCTGCTTTCTTTGATCTATTTTCTGCTTTCCTAACCTATTTCTCAAGGATGCCTTTATAGACCAGGTGCCTAACAACCTACTAACAAATCTCCTTGTAAAAACCTACTAACAAATCTTATCCATGTAACTAATCAACCCTATCTGCTACAAATTAATCCCTAAGCTGCTGTTGCTGCACCTTGTCCAGAGCCACAGCCGGCCCCACTTGCCCTAACAATGTATGAATAATAAGCTGTTGTTTGGGTGTAATCATGCTATAGTCTTCTTGTCATTTGTAAATAAATTAGGATAGTAGATGAAGCCTTGGACAGTTGAACCATCCAAAAGAAGTCAAATTTGATTTGAGCCTTGGACAGTTCAACAGTTTATCTACTGAATCATAATCTGTTTTGAGCTACTAAATCAATCTCCTCTGCCTAGAATTTCGTTGATACAATTTTGATTTTACAGATAGAATCAATCTCAAATAAACTTAAGGATGATAAGGGTGAACATGAGATATGCTGTTCTGAAATCGAAACAGTAAAGGTTTGAATACTTCATCTTGTCACCTGAATTGAAATGAATTTTTTTACTTTTTTTTGGATCCATCTCCTATGACTTGACTTAAGTCGTTTTGTAGGGTAAATGGCTTCCAACTTTGCGGACTCTTGTTTCAAAAATAAATGACACATTCAGTCGTAACTTTCAAGAAATGGCAGTTGCTGGAGAAGTTTCACTGGGTATGTATGGTTCTGTTTCTTCACCATTGTTTGTTTTCTTTGATAATACACTAATTGTCGTGTCAAAACTTCCCGCGCAGATGAGCACGGTCTTGATTTTGATCACTATGGCATTCTTATAAAGGTGAAATTTAGGTGAGCTTTCACCAAATGAGAGCAATTTTGATATTTCTGAAACTGGATGAATAAATAACCATCACTCTGCACCATTTTTTTTTTTGAAAACATACTCTGCACCATATTAATCAATGTACTGTTTTGTAATGGTAAGCTAGCTTGGTATTGTCTACTAATTACATTAGCCTGGAGTACCAGACTCGGCCCTTCCAAGTTGACTAAAGGGAAACTAAGTAGTTTTAGAATTTATTTTGACAAAATCTTATGATTATTATTTATTAATCTACAGATGATGTATTAGTCTGTCTTACAGATCTTTCTGTGATCCCTGTATCTTGTGAAAGTTTTTTTTAAAAAAAAAAATCAGAATTGGATGTAATAGAAATAAAATAGCACGCTAGCGTTATATTCTCTTATCCAGCCTTCCAGAGCTCCTCAGTGCATGTTGTGAAGTGGGCTTGCCTTGTTTTGTCGTGTGCTATATTTGTAGTGGACTTCGCTTCCTTGAAGCACTCGCACACGCTTTGTGCAGTTCCAGTATTCTTGTCCTTATCATCTAAAAGTGAATAGTGGTCTTGCCATCATATGAAGTAGGTTCCACTCTAATTCGCTGAAGAGTTGTGCAACCAGCGTCCAACTGAATTAAAATGTAATCTCCTAACATGACTGATTCAACACCATTTCTGTGAAGCACAGTTCATAGATGAAGATGGTTTATCCTTTCTCAAGTCTATCTCTCCCTCTTTTGTGACCTGCATGCTTCCTATTTCCTAGTCTATCAGGAGATTTTTGTATATGTAAATATTTCTAATTCTCATGGAAGAAATATTTTTTTTATTTGTGTGGCCAGTATCTATTCTTTTGATTGCATATTTGTTGCTGATATTGTTTTTTTTTCTATGCTGTGCTTCTAGCAAGGGTTTTGATATATTCTCTCTTGGTTGTCAGGCAAACTAGTCAGCTGCAGGTGCTAAGCTCTCATCACCAATCAGGAGGGGTATGAAGGATCAACAAGTGTCAAGTCAAATGTGAAACCTTTTCTCTTCACCTACTTATGGTCATTATTATTTCCTTCCTGTTCATAGGAGCGATCAGTATCGACCATCTTGTATCTTGTGTCACTTCAAGATCTTACCAACTGCCCCTTTCGGGTTGTTGATGAGATAAATCAAGGTAACACAACTGGATTGCTTCATTTCTCCCTCAACTGTATGGGCGTTAACTTGTGGTATTGAGGTGGTCTAATGCATTCATCCGAATATGCAGGAATGGACCCCATAAACGAGAGGAAAATGTTTCAGCAGCTTGTCAGAGCTGCCAGCCAAATTAACACACCACAGTGAGTGACAGTGCTGTCAACACTTTGTACAGCATGCAGATCTGCAGACCTCTCGACATCTGATAACCTCCCCTTTCTTTTGCCTGCAGATGCTTCCTTCTGACGCCCAAGCTTCTACCTGATCTGGAGTACAGCGATGCCTGCAGCATTCTCAACATTATGAACGGCCCATGGATTGAGGAGCCAGCAAAAGGTACTCGTCCGCTTATGCTTTCTGAAAAAGAAATCATGCTGATCTTACTGGCGAACTGAACATGTAAACATTCTCAGTCTGAGTTGTATCTAATTCTTGTGATGCTTGCAGCATGGAGCTCCGGAGATTGTTGGAGGACAGTGGTCAGCGCTGCTGGGCACTGATCAGCCGAATATTTTGCCTTGACCGCAGGAGGCCTTAAAGTTTAGCGTGTAGAGCTGGAAGCAGCTTTTGGGTTGTTAATTTAAGCTTTAGTTGTACTCCATGTAAATATAGGAGAAGCTAAGGTAGCTGGCTGCATTATCAATCTAGAACTATGGCTGCTCTAGTCACTTGGCAGCCCTTTTGTCACGGGAGGGTACTGCACTGCGGAATGATCCCTACCCGGTAGCTCTCCACTAACCAGTATTTCTGCAAGTGACCAGCTTAGTTCAGTAATTATTTTGCAGCGTGACTGCAGAAGTCAGTCCATGTGGTGTGTACCTGTCGAGTTGCTATGATCAGTGTGACCTCTCTAGGGATGTTTCAATTCACTGTTGCATGGATAATCTCTTGATGAGGTTTGTTGTAGCGTTCGAATACTGGCCAATCTGTTTCTGTCAGATGCTCGACGCTCATTTGCTGCAGCCTGTTCGCTCGCAGCGCGCTCGAATGTTGTTTCTTGCATCTCATTAGCATGTCGCCAATAGCGTGGCCATGCTGATTTTTCTTGTCGCCAGTGGCCACGATTCGAGATATTCCCAGGATAAATCTAGGATTTGCCAGACAGTTTTTAACTTTTTACAGTGAAGGCGCATTTTTTTTCTGTCAGCGTTTGCCTTTCTCATCTGCTGATTCTTGTGGCGTTAACGTTTGACTACTCTTGAGGATTTGGTACTCATGCCGCACCAGTCACAAATGTTGCTAGTACAAGGCTGCAAGTGCAAGCAACCAAACAAGCCCTGATCGGCTTATAATAACAGCAACAACTCACAAACCAGTCACACGCCTCTTGGCAGCCCATTGACGTTACAACTTTTAAGCTAGCTAACAGCGACAGATGGAAGTTTGCACGTGCTGACTGCTGAAGCTGCATCACACGAGCACAAAAGGAGTGTGGTGAACTGAACTACGTACGACAGAACAATCACACCGTGCTCCATTTGATCTCCACGTGTATCATCCCGTTCCTCGAGTTGATGAGGTGGTACTTCTTGTTAATCCGGCCGTTGTTCACCACATCCACCAGGTTTATATTCACATGCCCCAGCGATTCCTGGAAGATCGAGAGATCGAGCGTTAGCTAAGCGTTATGACTTATGACAGACAGCAAAGAGGGAGGAGATGCTTCGGCCTGCAACTGCAGCATGAATGACTTGCCTTGTTGCGGAAGGGAAATCCGCGGCGTTTGCTTTTAACTTCGATGTGGATCTTATCTTCCACCGGAGGCTCGTCTACCATAAACTGGAACTCCTCGCTCCATCTTGGATCTCTTGTTTTCCTTATGACCTGCAACGTAGGACAGGACCATGAGGAGGTTGTTGGCGGTAAGGAGTTTGGGTTGCTTGATTTTGTGCCAAAGGGTTCAATTGATGTTTTGTGAAAACTGAAACATGCAAATGTGAGGTATGGGCAGTTTACTCAGATTCAAGTGCTATAAAACTCAGAGGGAGGGGTGGCGTCGGGGAGCAACGCGCGGGATCGGGAGTGCGTGGGGGGGTGCATTTGCCGCAGCAATCAGGATGAAATCAGGGAGATACACATACACTATTATCTCTAACTATGGTAAAAATATTTGAGGCTACGGTAGTCTACTTTTTTTTTTTTTTTGAGGAAAGGCTATGGTAGTCTACCTAAATGACTATTATTGTCATCTATGGAAACAACCCAACTAACCCAAGCGAACGATGAAGCCCCGCGACGTCCTTGACCATATAGCCCCGTTCGCTGGTCTGAAACTTGGCTGAAAAACACTGTTCCGGCTGGTTTGTTGTGAGAGAAAAACACTGTTTGGCTGGTTTGGTGAACAGTAACTTGAGAGTGGGGATCAGCCGGCTGGCTGAAAATTTCAGACCAGCGAACAGCTCCGGCGCAATAGCAGTACTCATCACATTACCCTCCCGATCAAATCCCGGCGGCCACACCACAAAAGATGGGAAATTGTGTCCGCAGCAGCAGGGACGACGACGGCGTCCTCAACGTGTTCGGCGGGCCCCGCGAGGTGAACTTGACGGCCAAGGACGGCCGAGTTCATCGCTGCATCAAGATCGGGAAGCGGCTGTTCATCACGCTGACGAAGGAGAAGCAGGTGGCGCTGATTGCAATCCCAGAGGGCGAGCTGCGACTGCTGCGTAACGTGGAGAAGCTCAGCGTGATGGAGCCCGGCACGCAGCGTCTCTTTGGGCGTGTTTGGAGCGTTGGCCCGTCGGCCTGGCTGCGCCCCCAGCTGCAGTGCGCGTGTTTTATGTCCATGGGCCGTCTCCCAGCCCGGCTCCCCGGATGCATTTTGGTCCCCTCGGCCTGGCTCCAGGGAAACGCTCCCCCCTATGTTTTTCTAGGGCATGGCCGCGCGCGGCTCCTCTCAAGCGATTTCGGGGCGATTCGTGGCGGCGGCGGCTGGCTCGCGTGGGCTCACGTGGGAAGTGTGAAACCTCCGCGCGCGCTTCCGCTACCGGTGAAATCCGCCGCCTTTATAAGCAGCCCCTCCCTCCTTTGAGCTCCCCTCCTTTGTCTCCATTGCTTCTCCACCAAATCCCATGAGAGACCGGCGGTGTGTTGAGGTGTGGTGTCCGGCGAGGCGGCGTTTTTCCCCGGTGGGTTTCCTCTCCGTTCCCCCGGCCCGGATCTGGTCGAACGCGGCGCCGCACCTTGTAACTAGCTAGGACTCCGGGAGGCGGTCGTCTTCTTCCTTCGTCTTCCTCGGTTCCGGTGGTGCACGTGGTGGTGCTGTGTACCGGATCTGCTTCATCTCCGTCGGGATCTGCTTCTTCTTCATCGCCTCGTCTTTTTCTTCTCCGTTGTTCGCTTCGCGTTTGCTCCGTCAACCACCCCGAGGTGAAATCCACCCCCAATGGACCTACTCTTTGATTTGGATGATGCTAGGGTTTTGTTGTACTTGTACAAGGTGCTGTCTTTGCGGCTTATCTAAGCTTTTGGTGCCGGTTGCTTTGTTATGCGATGTTGGATTTAGGGTTTGCCTTGAACTGTTGTTACTGTTCTTACTTCAGTATGGTTTCATGCTGTTTGTTTACCTGTTATTATGGTCGATGATGATGTCCATTGCACTGGGAGGCATATTCTATCATGCAGCCGTGCCTACTTTTGTTGTTGACTGATTACACATCCATGTTGAGGCCAGCCAGGGTCAATTGAACTATGTTTGTCTTGAATGTTCATGCATGTAGATGGATCCGGCCCAAAACCGTGAGTTGATGGCCAATCAAGCTGCTGCCTTGGTAGTTGTTATGGTGTCTTATGTTGTCACTAGGCTTAGGAGGTCTAGGCCTGAACTAGACCCACTGTTGTATCGTCTTAGGAGCGATGCTGAGCAGCATAGGAAGCAGACCCTGCAAGCCATTTACAACTCCACAGATGCAGAGTATCTGTCTATGTTAAGGATGACTAGAGTTCCTTTTTATGCTTTGTGTAACCTGTTTAGAAATAGGGGGCTTGTACCAGAAAAGGCTGGGTGCACAGTTGAGGAGCGGGTTGCTATGTTCCTCCATGTAGTTGGACACAACCAAAGGTTTAGGGTGGTTCACCAATCCTTTAGGAGGTCAATTGAGACTGTCCATAGGTACTTCCACCAGGTTGACTGTTGAGATGTATAATTCCTTCACCTCCCTCACCCACTCTCTTACCTTTTGTACACACCTAGGTGTAGCTTTTGTGCAGCTTAGTTGGCTGATTCACACCTGTCCTTTTAGGTTAGTGTAGTTGGAGGGTGGAAGCCTTGTTTAATTGGTTCTTCATATTTTTCATCACTACCATGGAACCCTATGTATGCCCATCCATTCACTTATCAACGGTAACTTGTATCTTATGCTGATGGCAGTGAATGGATGTGAACAATAGGGTTCGATGGGAGTCATGACCCTGGATTTGCACTTGTTTGGTGCCTGCCCTGTTTACTTGATAATTCTGATTTGTCATGTATATCATCACATCCATGTGACACATCCATACCCTAGCAACAACCCCTTCTTTCTTGTGCTGATGGTAGTGTATGGATGTGCATAAGGATTTCATGGCAGCCATGAGCTTGGATTTGCTGCACTACTGGTTTTTTTTTCTATGGCAGCCACCAATGATTTGAACTAAAAGAACACCACCACATTCTAAAGCTGAGGCCAACCTTTTATTACAATGCATGTGATGTCAATTCTCTTACATATGAACTTGATGATGCTGGTCATCAGTGGGGGACTTTTTTTTTTCTCAAAAACGCAGGAGAGCTACGCTTCATTAAATTAAGAAGAGAATAAAGGGCAAGAGCCCAAACAACACCTTACACACACACACACACGCACACACCCCAGTTTCTAGGATTACACTCGCGTCGTTGACATAAACACACAAGACGACCACTACTGAGTTAGACACTCTAACTACCGGGGAGGAGGGCAGTCGGGATTATATAGACTTAAGATCAACGATTTGTTTCACCGCAAACCGTAGATCTTCAAGTACCATACTCATGGCTAGTTTCACGCGTTACATTTGACTGAGGCTAAACCATTGTTTCATTTCACAGAAATGGTAGCGTACTATGTTGTTTTCAATGGGAAGGCTCCTGTGATTTACCTAAGTTGGCTGGAATGCAGTAAGCATGTTCTTGGGGTGAGAAATGTTATATACAAGAAGTATAGCAACTATGAGCAGGTTGTTAGAGATTATCAGCAGTCATGAGAGATGTCCATCCATCTCATGGAGCAGCACCTCCCCTCCCCTATGTTCCTATCCCTCATGATGCTTTTGCTCCAATCATTCCTCCTTCTGATGAGTTGGTAGAAGGTGTTAATTACGTCACTTGTTATCTTGGTTGGACTATGGATGAAGGGGGGCAAAACTGGCAGCTACGACTGCCCCTCTTAGGCCTATGATGACTACAACTACATGATGGATGAGCTGCTGCTGTGTCTTACTGATTTCTGTCTTCCATTTCTGTTACCTATCTCTTTTGTGTTGTTCAAGGACCGTTGATTACTGATTAGGCTGCTGATGTTGTTATTTTGCCTTGTTTCATTGGTACTTTTGTAAAGTTAGAGCAGCTATGACTCTATGCTTATTTACCTAATTAGTCTGAGGCCTGTTGGTTATGTGATGTTGCATTACTCTTATCTATCTCCTATATGTTGATTTCTGTTGGCTGCTCTCCATGGTTGCTGGCCTGGTCGGGAATCAAACAAGATTTGGGAATGGCAGTTGGAGGTAGTTGGCCTTGGGCCTGACTCCTAGCTGTGGAATCAAACACAATCTTCTTTGGGCCTGGTCAGTTTGGTACAGGCCACCAAACAAGGGGCCTTGCATCGGGTTAGCCAGGCTGTGGCTGGTCTGGGCCTGGCTGCCTTCAGGCAACGCTCCAAACACGCCCTTTGTAAACAACGAAGGCCTGCTGCTGGAAGTGTTGGTGCGCAATAACAGCATTGCAGAGGTCAAGGATTTTTGTAAACCTCCGTCTTGGAATTAATATAAGAGATTCTACTAGTGTTAGACGTGCCCTTGATACTGCCTAGATGTACAGTAGTTAGAATTCCTGTCAGGACAAATTTAGTACGTACTATCTTCGTAAAAAAAAGGCATTATGGTTTTTGTCCTAATAAGTCAAACTATTGTAAGTTTGACCAAGTTTATTGAGAGAAATATTAATATTTACATCATCTAGTAGGTATATTACAAAAATACATTTCTTGAGGTATGGGCAGTTTACTAAGATTCAAGTGCTATTCCAGTTTTTTTAATTGCCACCTTTCAGTGAAATGATTATGATGCAAGTTTCTGTATAGTAGTCATGGCAAAATGAACTGCGCCAATGTGGCAATGTCTTTCTGTGGACGCAGGAGCTAGTACTGTTATGCTAGTGAAATTCTGGATCAGTTCTCCAAATGAGACTATATAGGATGAACAGAGAAGTTACTCCTATCGTTCTAAACCTTTATGCCCAGTTAGTTGTCCACAACTTTAGCCTATCAGGCCAAGATCTCAGAAGTCTGGACCTACCTCTTCTCAGCTTAGACATTGCTACCGGTTAGGCAATTCAGTTCATCTGACTAAAAAATGAAAATCATAACCAATAAAGACGAAAGAAGTCTCAATAGGGTTAGGCTGTAAGGTAACGTAGGCTTAATCAATAATCATATACTGTAACTAGAACAGGTAAAAAATGTCAGAGAACTTAAGATGTGGGCTTGCTACGTTTCGCAATACAAATTTTAAAAATAAATGGGCATTGCTACATAAGAAAAAATAATTTAGTAGTGTTACCTTTGTTTTCTTCCGTTCTCCCCTGAAAAGTACCTCAGCATATGGATTAGTATGCCGCTTCCCTTCGACATCTTCTGCATTTTCTACTGAAACCAACAGCACCCCACCACTGGATTCACCGTCTGCTTCCCTTCTTATACTAGCATTACCTTCACCATCTGAAGCCATATTGTCTTCTCTGAAGGGATCAAATGTCAACTCAACAATGAGCTTTCCTCTATTCTTCTTGTTCTGCGGATCATTTGGGTTCATGCTTCGAACAAGGTCGAGTGTGAATAACTTGCTCTCGTAAGGTGTAAGCAAGCGGAGGGGAATTACTTGCATGCCCAATTTATCATGCATCTTAACCTGCACAATAAAAAACACGCTAAGGTTATCGATTGGTGTCTCTCCTGACAATGAGCCATTATGAGGATATCAGAAGTAGAAAAGTAAGTTGCATACAGTTAGAAACCTTTTCCCAATCAAACATGTGAAGCTCAAGGACTTGAGTGTCAGGATCCTTGACTATGAACCTGAAGTGTTCATTCCATTCAGGATTCAGGTTGCTCATCTTAACAGATGTTTTCTTCCAGGGCAGTCTTTCACCACTCAGGCGCATCTTGACATAGGGATCAGATTTGCCAAGAAAATCCATCTTGAGAAGATTCAGGGCTCTGATTACCTTTACATGCAAGATTCCAATTGGTTTCTTTGTAGCACCACTGCAATATGGTTCATAGAATAAAGAGTAATTAAATCCAAGTTCAGTTGGAAATTTTGTTTTAAGAAAACTGGAAAATGGTTGTTAAAAATAGGACAATGAGCTATTGCTTGTAATAACTAGAAAATGTTTGTATTGTCATCCTATTCTTTGTTACAAACATTTGGATGTCATAAATAATAATTAAATCCACATTAAGTTTTGTTGTGACTCATAGATGAAGCACTAGCTGTTTGGATTTCATTGTTGGAGAATTTCACCTTGCTCCATCTAAGATAGGAATCTGTATAACCTTAGGCCAGTGATACAAAATTGAGATTTGCTTTGATATTTGATCCTGTGAGAAAAAAGGATAATAAGACCAGAGTGAACATATTATATATGCCTGTGCTTATACGGTACAGTTACTCAAGGGTTTGGGAATGTTTTTTAATACAAAGCCAGAAGAGCAGTTACCTGAACATATTGATACAAGACTGGTATGGCCATGACATCTCCCCCCAACAATTTGAATCCAAAATCTATACGAGGCTATACCCACAAAACTTGAGTTAGTAGTCTTTAATAAAATTATTAAGTACAGACGGAAGACGCATATAATACATACCTTTTCCATTAGTGAAACACACAAGTTAGCAAAACAGGGAAAGCTTGGCACAAGTGACTTCAGGGTCACACGTGGTGTTAGCATTATATGCAAATCTTCAAGCTGAAAATGGCAAATATATGACATCAATACGTCAGTGAACTACCAAGCCTTATATGTATAATGCAGTCAACCAGGGACAAAAGCGAACCTGAACAGTCACTTTGAAAGAATGCACCTTTGCGTTCACTGTTACATTTGATGTGCTAGCCCACCGAATCACAGGCTCAATTACCAACTCTTTTTCTAGCATTTCGTAAACTTTAATTCCTGTTTTAAGCAAGTAAAAGTATGTGAAAATTATATTCAGATGGAAGCCAAAACAAGTTGGAAACAAAGTAAACAGTAAACAGACAGCCTTCCAAACTACTGTTCAACTATAATGCATCACATCAGATGAGCTGGATCAACTTTATATTCTAGGAATAGTTGAGTTAACACATTAAATTTTACACCAATCATTTCCTTCAAAAACTTCATAAGTTTGCACTAAGTTAGAGTTGGTTAAGGTTAATCTCATTGTTTAAACAAGGGCAGTTTGAGGGCTGGTGGTGGACTAGACTTTGAGCTGCAGTACCAATTCAATCTGTTCATAACTTCATATCACAGACATTAGTTATATAACAGTAGGAAAACAGAAACAGATTTATGTAGTAATGACAGTCATCGTTTGAGCGCCCAACGTGCAATATCACTCAGCACATTGTACCCCAACAGTAAGCTATCTAAGAGAAATGGCGGACCTTGAAATGTAGGTGGAAGAGTCCCAAGTGTCAACTGTCCAAATTCAATTGATTCTATACCATATTGTCCAACATATTGATCAAACATTGGCCTCGTTGCACGTTTTATATTGTTGCATATTGCCTGTGTTCGTGGATGAGAAGAACATTATTTTGGCTAATCATGCTTCCGTTTAAAATTTATACAGCACAGAAATGATGTACCCGTGAAAATCAAACTAAATTTGTACCAAATAAGCCAAATAAAAGTTGAAAGAACCTTATCCAGAAAAGGCCACATGTCAAAAATAAACTTGTTCATCCAGTCAATCTGCAAAACAATAAGATGTTGTGAACCTTTAATCAGCGAAATCTTGTGTTTGATTTGCAACACCAGCTTCCAATTAAAAACATTGGAACATTTTTAGAATAACAGTTGGATGTCTGGAAAAAATATGAACCATGCTAATCAGAGGTAACCCTTTTGGCCATTTTCCTGTATGACTCTTCAAGAACTTCAGCAACTATATAGGATCTTTTGACATGACACCTAAGCTAAAAGGAATGTATAATGTGATTCTATGTAAATGCTCATTGGCAACATGGTATCACTTTGTAAGTCTCATTTCTCAAAATGGATGAATGAGCTCTCATATCCTGATTAGGTGGGAATACATGTTTTAAAACTAACGTGTCTAAAAAAAAGACTAAATATACAGTGACTATATTTTCCATATCAATTTAAAGGTGCATCATAGTCAAATTGATTTCTTCATTCGAGAAACTTAATGCTAATATTAAGATGAACTTTCACAAAAATGTTGTTCTATATATCAAATTCTATTAATTTCAAACATAAACAAACCATAAATTTATTTTGGGTAAAACACGAACAAGGTTCCATTTCTTCCATAAGACTTACATTCCTACAGAGATGTTCCTCAAGGTTTGAGTAAACATGAAGTTGACTTACACCTCCATTCACTCATTAAACAGGGACTGATATACTATATATGGATATTCCATCAAGTAACAAGAATAAACCATTGGATTAGTAGTGTAATAAGAACTGAGAAGTATGCACTCACCCGCTCATAGTCTGGGCTCTTCACCCATAATGGAATATCTGGTATTGTTGCCTGCAGAGTTTCAGAATCTAAATCTCGTAGAGGTTTAATGACAGGATCCTGTAAAGTCGAGCATGAGAAACCAGATTATGTTTATTGACACAGCACAATAATTACCATAAATGTCAACCTCTATGGAAATTTATGTATTCATAATAGTATTGGCTGCTATAACAAGGTAAAAAAGATGTGATGAAAAAAAAGTAATTGGGCCCAATATTTCTGTAAAAATTAAGACTATCCTTTTTGGATTAGAATTTGGTTAAAAAATGGACTAGTTATCGGTAGTTACAAATTCAAATTTCAGTCTAGCTGCAATAAAAGAAAAGATTGTTTCATGGTCTCAGTTTGCACTACTAGATAACACTACACCAAAGCTATATTTTGAAAATTTATATGCCTTCAAGAAACATGATCGATAGTAATTGGTGATCCATAGGTACAAAGGTAGCATCAATTACATAAGAGTACAAGGTGACAATAAAACCCAAGTTCTATATTTTTTTCTTCAAAAAGCTTAATAGATGTTATAAGCAGGTTCATATTACAGAGTTGGAGATAATGTAAAATGGATATAGTTGTCTTGATCTCGACTCTGTAGAGGCAAGTTGTTTGTGTGTGCTATGTTGGTGTTAAACTGAAATTGATTTTATGACTTTCGGTTGCACAATATCTCTGTAAAAATGACAGATATGACTTTTCTTTACTTAGCGTTGCGGATACGATTCTTTCTTTTCTTACCAACTAAGCTATCCAAATGTCATTGTAGTCTCAAGTAGACTGCGTGTTCAGACAAGTACGCTATAGATATAGTATTTATTAAGTTCCCAAGTTGGATTTTGTTCCCATCATATTCCACAACTGCACGTCATTTTCATTCCTATGGGCAAACTGATGAAACCACCTGTAATTTAGCGCGAACCACATGCTGGAAAATGATTCCAAGCATATTATTAGACAGCGATGAAGAAAAGCATCATTCAAATATGCCTTAGTATGATGCTAATTAAAGAACTATTATTACATCATTAATTATAAGTATCAGGTGATAACTATGCACCCACCATAGTATGTATGCACTAATCCCGTTTCTCATTGGCAATGTTAAACAAATGCATATATACACATACGTACAGATATCTTTTACTGTCATGGACTTGCATATCCTTTCTGTAATCCACGATACCTGCTTTGTCCAACATAGACGACAGTGACAAATAACCAACGGTGAATCGATCCTGTCACTGATCCTCTAGAGGAAAACCCCTCACACAAACACCCGAATCCTCCACTACAACAATTTCTAACCTGAAAGTCGGTATATATCTGCCTGGCAGTGCCCATCGATGCAAATTGGGGAACGGAACATATAATCGTTGGGCAAGGCAAAAACGAATCAGACACGCAAGGCATCAGTCGGCAGGCCGTTCAAAAGCTGGAAAAAGGTACTGTCGGTCTCAGCTGGCTCTGGCTGCTGACCAACTATTTCTGAAAGGACCTACCGGACAACCCAAGACTCCAGAGGCGTACGTACTCCCCACAACTGAAAATCGCTCCAGCTGAGGTAATCTCATCTGGACTTTGGAGGACCGCACGCACAATCTTCCTTCCCCCCCACGTCGCCTCGAGTCATCGTGTACAGAAATATAGAACAAGCTAACGATTCACTAGTCACTACGTGTTTGGTCGCCGTTACTGTTTTTCCTCCAAGACGCGAAGCTACTCTACGATTCGATTCTCACGGCACGACCGATTCGAACTAGCGCGACCGGAGCACGGAAACTCAGTAATTAGCAACAGCAACGCAACTAGTGCAGCGCTGCGGCGCGGGGATAGACCACGGTGGTCACCGTATGCACGCACGCACGTACCTGGAGGCGGCGAGCGGCGGCGAAGTAGCGGAGGTAGACGAAGTACGCGGCGGCGAGGCCGATGGGGAGGCCGAGGCAGAAGCCGAGGACGCCGCCCACGAGGCCCATCGTCTATCACCGTCGCCGTCGTCCCTGCCGCGATCGCGAATGCCGGCCGGCGCCGCGCCGCGCCTCGCCACGCCACTACCCCAGGCGCCGCGGCAACCGCCGCCGCATGGGGAGTCGGGAACCGACCGCGCGCGCGCGGAGGTTGCTGGCTGGTTGTAGATGGCGGGGTTTCGTTGTCGCTGCTTGCTGCTGCTCCTCCTCCTCGGATGTGTCGAACGAACCTAGGCGGCGGGGGCAACAACTGGAGTAGTATAGCAGTAGAAGCGATGAAGGAAGCAGCGGAGGCGGCGAGCGCGAAGCGAGCGAGCGAGCTGGCGCTGGCGACGGGCGGAGTTTTATTGCTCGGGATGGGGACGGAGACTGGGATGCTCCGTGTGCGCGCGGCGTGGAGAGGGCGGCAGAGATTTTTTTATTTTTAACACTTTTTTAAAACTATTTTTAAATATAACTTTTTTTTTTTTGAAAACTAACACTTTTGGTCGCGTCTATTCGCATGGCGCGGCCAAATCATATTGCCGCGTCATGCATAGGGGAGTGGTAGGAGCGACGACGTGGCAACGACTAGGGCCGCTCAACGCTGATGTGGCCGGGCTGCCGCGCGGATCTGGGTGCGGCACTGACGCACCATGGCGCATGGCACGGCACCCCTTTGACACGAGAGACGGACACCTAGCTGGCCCATGCAGCTTTTACGCAGGGTAGGTGTAGAGACTACAGTAGCCGACGGGTAGTGTCAAATCACCTAGCCCCTGCTCATGTATGTATATATAAGAGCAGATTACATTTCATTGAACCATATTTTACATCTTCAGTTTAGGTGTAAGTTCTATATTCAACTGGTGTAAATTGATTATTCTTAAATAAGAATGATCAGAATTACTTAATATTTAGCTGACCGTTTTTTGGCTTTTTATTTTCTTTATATTTTATTTGGTTTTTCTTTGAAATTTTTTAATTTAGCTTCCATAGAAATAATCTGGCTAATTTTTTTGTTTTATTTGGTTTTGCTTTGAAATCTTCTAATTTGGCTTCCATAGAAATAATCAGAGTAATTTTTTATTTTATATGTTCTATCTTTGAATTAATTCTGATCATTAGATCTTAACCCCGTGGTTATAAAATTTGAGTGTTTCATGGCCGTAAAATAATTGATTCTATCAACCGGTCAGTTTCGAGTGTTTTATTAGTATGTGACGACCGGGTGTCACGAGTTCTAAAATACTCGAGTAGAAGGTAGACATACTATGCAATTAAAATTTTATAGGGTATTAATTTTTTTTCAAATGGGAGGGGGGACATGAGCCCCTACTGCCTCTTTGGTTCTGCCAATGGCACCATTATTGTTCTTAAACGCGTGTAATAATATGAACAACTAGCACATCCTTCGTTTGAAAATTGGATCTAGGAACTAAAGTTTAGTCCGTGTCGGACGTTCGGATGCTAACTACGAGGACTAAATACGAGCTAATTATAAAACTAATTGCACAGGAGTAGATTAATTAGCGAGACGAATCTATTAAGCCAAATTAGCACCATTTTACTGTAGCATCACATTGTCAAATCATGAACTAATTTGGCTTAATAGATTCGTCTCGCTAATTAATCTACTCCTGTACAATTAGTTTTATAATTAGCTCATATTTAGTCCTTATACTTAGCATCCGAACGTCCGACACGGACTAAACTTTAGTTCCTGGATCCAATTTTTAAATGGAGGATGTGCTAGTTGTTCACATCGTTACACATGTTTGAGAACAATAATGGTGCCATTGGTAGAACCAAAGGGACAGTAGGGGCTCATGTCCCCGTCCCATTTGAAAAAAATAATACCCTATAAAATTTTAATTACACAGTATGTCTACCTTCTACACGAGTATTTTAGAAACTCGTGACACCCGAGCGTCACATGCCAATAAAACACTCGAAACAGACCGGTTGATAGAATCGAGTATTTTAAGGCTACGAAACACTCAAATTTTATAACCACAGGGTTAAGATCTAATGTTCAGAATTAATTCAAAGATAGAACATATAAAATAAAAAATTACCCAGATTATTTCTATGGAAGCCAAATTAGAAGATTTCAAAGCAAAATCAAATAAAACAAAAAAATTAGCCAGATTATTTCTATAGAAGCCAAATTAAAAAATTTCAAAGAAAAACCAAATAAAATATACAGAAAATAAAAAAGCCACAAAATGGTCAGATAAATATTCAAGTAATTCTGATCATTCTTATTTAAGAATAATCAATTTACACCGGTTGAATATAGAACTTAAACTTAAACTGAAGATGTAAAATATAGTTCAATGAAATGTAATATGCTCTTATATATACATACATGAGTAGGGGCTAGGTGATTTGACACTACCCACCAGCTACTGTAGTCTCTGCACCTACCCCTGTGCAAAAGCAGCATGGGCCAGCTAGGTGTCCGTCTCTCCGTGTCAAAGGGGTGCCGCGCCATGCGTCGTGGCGCGTCAGTGCCGCGCCTAAATCCGCGTGGCAGCCTCGGTCACGTCAGCGTTCAGCGGTCCTAGTCGCTGCCACGTCGCCGCTCCTACCGCGCCCCCATGCATGGCGCAACAACATGATTTCGCCGCGCCATGTGAATAGGCGCGGCAAAAAATGTTAGTTTAAAAAAAAAGCAGTGTCATATTTGAAAATAGTTTTAAAAAAAGTGTTAAAAATAAAAAAAATCACACTTGGCATGCAGGGTTTCCTCCCGGCTCCCCCACGGCCGGTCACCGAGTTTCTCTCCCTTGCCGTTCCCCTCCCTACCTTCTCCGAAGCTCCTTCTCGGTCTTGTCAATGTAATGAAGCTCCTCCTCGGCCTCTACGGTGAATCGAATGATTTAAATGAGTAGTTAGGGTATGGAGGAAAATATGAGTTCGATAGAACGTTAGATTGAATGATTAGGATTATGATTGCCAATGTTAAGGTTAATTGGTTAGTTAGAATTATGATTACCATGTATTTTATTTGTTTGAGTTTGCATTTCAACTTTTATATGTGAATAAATATATGGACACACTGTTGATGTACCAAATTTTATTTTTTACTGACCAAAGTATAGTTTTTATATAGTTTTCATGTTTGCATTTAAGATAGAGTTTTCACCAAAGTGTAAGTTATATTTTATTTGTTGTAATACAAATGGTTCTCATTGACATTAATTTGTGATGTTTTAATTTTTGTTTGTTAAATTACAACCGTTTTGTTAGATACAAGAAATGTATCGGGAGGAGTTTTGGCGAAAACGGGGTCGTCCTCGATAATTATGCCCCGACGGTCTAGTAAAGATGCCCCCGTCCCTCCAGACCTTCCTGTCCCTAACTGTAACTGTGGTTTCCCGACCGACGTGTTTCAATCGAGACATCCAGATACAGCGACGCGTTGCTTCTACATATGCAGTCGTTTTTATGTAAGTAATTGTTTTTACTATCTTTTTTCTTCATTTGTGTAAGTAGGCTACTAATATTTTGTTGGAATCTTATTGTGTAGGACCATGAGAGGTGCCTTTTCTTTCAGTGGATCAACGGTACAGACAAGTTTGACCCTAGGCACCTCCTTTTCGACGATTAGTGTAGAGGGAGACATCCATGTGAGCACTTCCAGCGGTGGGTTCCACCCCCCTAACCCCCGCCAATGACGGCTAAGGAGAAGCACCTAGCCATAGTTAGATGACTCGAGGAACCTCCTCTATGCGAATGCGGAGATCGAGCTGTGATAAACCCTGAGAATACGTTGGAGTTTATGTGTCCGAATAAACACGAAGTAAGTGGAAAGTGTATCTGTTTAAATGTTTAGCTCTATATGTGTGCGTTTACTAATGTATTCTCTTGTAGCGTTATGGATTTGCGAAGTGTCGTTTCAATGAGTGGCTCTACGGTCCTAAGAATCAATGGCCGGAGCCACCGAAGGCAAAGGAAAAGAATAAAAAAGGTTAATTTACAAAGCACCTCCAGTCAAGTGCAAATGTGGTGTTAAATCGGTCTAGTCCCTTCGAAGCTTGGAATAGACCATTATTGCGGCCATATGGTTGACTATGATGAGGTTGGTTATTTTTGTGGTAAACATGAAATCGTATTTTATTTCTTTTGCTAAGACATATATGATATAATTTTTTGTTTGAACAGAGCACTAGGAAATGCAGGTGGGTATATTATGATGGTCAAGCTAAGTTTTTGGATGAACTGAAGCGGAGGCAAGTAATTGCACGAAAGAGGGGATATGGACCTGACTACGTCAACCTATTCGTTAAACATCATAAAAACAAGATGCGTGGGTTTGCTAGACAGCGCGGTATTCGTAACCCGATCGATGTTGGGCTTGACAAATATTTTGTTGGAGAGACGGAGGGCGTTAGAGGAGGAGAGGGCAAGGAAGGAGGCAAGGGAGGAGGAAAGAGTATAGATGCAGGTCTTGAACAACCATGTTGTTGCATTATGTGCCAGTGAGTCATTGAAAGCCTTGTTATTTTCATTGCCTGCTTTTAAATGTAATATAATCGCGTTGCTAACTTGTTGCATTTCATATATGAAGGGATTGGATGTAGCGAGGACCATGCCGTAGAGGTGGCCCGTGCAAGATTTGTGGAAAAGAAGTTACATGAGCACAGAACGCGAGCTGGTCGCACCCACCGATTATGTTGTATGATGAGAGGGACGAGGATGAGGATGACACTGTCAGGTTGAGCGATCTCATCGGTCTTGCTGGGGCGAGCTTGTAGGTGGAGGAGGCTGAGGACAACACAGGTAGACTGAGCGAGCTCATTGCTCTAGCAGAGGTGGGCTTGCAGGCGGAGGAGGCTGATGACGACACTGGTAGACTGAGCAAGCTCATCACTCTAGCAGAGGCGGGCTTGCAGGCGGAGAAGGATGACGACGCGTTCTTCACTCAGGCCATAGAGGGTGCAAATGAAGCGGATGCCGCTTACTACAGGCGACAGACAGATCAAGGTAATGCAAGTGAGCCTAGCCACATGAGCCAAACGGAG